GGATCACCGGGGCGCAGCTGGCATGCTCTTCTTAGATTCTTGGGCATGGGGCTTAGTGTCCGAGGTTCAGGCATCAATTTCACCTTAATTTTAACCCGAAACTAATCCCTAAGCGACCTCCCTGAACCCCTAAACCTACACCCCCTAACCTCAACAGGCAAGGGTTTAGGGACTAGGATTGAAAGATCAGGAGTCAACTCCGGAGCAAAGAGTTGTCGGCCCTTTTTTAGGATCTTTGGGTTTTTAGGGTGTTAGGTTTTTTTTTATTAGGATTTTAGGGTTTTTAGGGTTTTAGGGTCTTTAGGGTTTATAGTAGGGCTTTAGGGTTTGGGGTTTAGGGCTTTTACGTTTTAGGCTTTACGGTTTAGGGTAGCGCAGAGGTCTGGCTGACGAGTAACGCACCCCTGGAAGTGCTCTGTAGAAATGCAATATCATGATAAAACCCCAACGCTGTTCCGTTCAATTGCTGCACAGTTTAGCCTGGTGCTCGCCGTATCGCCTTATCCTTTGCATCCCCCAGGCTCGCACCATCAGCCATTTTCGGCCTGCGTGCCAATGCAAACTCGAAGGCCCAAATCCCAAACCTTAACGCATTGAATCCTAAACCCAAACCTTACGGATTGAACTCTAAAGACTCTATGCCCCACAACCCCTAGCTCCACAAGCCCCCAATCCCGATAGGCTCAAAGCCCAGGCCCAGCAACCGGCAGCAAAGACCAAGTCGGTTGGCAGACTTTAAACTTTACTGTAATGGTATTCAGAATCCGTGGAAGGAAGTGAAGCGAACAGCTGGTTACCTGTTGCTCGGTCGTGCACATATGTATATATGGTACAAAAGCCTTGCAACGGATGACAGGAAGCAAAGCGCTTCCTCTGTGACCCCGGGCAGAGCTTGACCGCAATGGCCGGGTTCTCGGATAGTTCGGGCAAGGAAGTTTAGGGACGTAGCAGAAAGCTTACACTTATACACCCTGCGGGTCCATAAAATGCCCATCGTGTATGTAGTACATACTTCGACCATACAGGCGTTCCTAAACAGGTATTTTCGTGCTTAAAGTGCATCGTTATGGTGGTACATGGCCCGTTAAGTTCAGGATAGATTTAAAGCGGCTTACCTGGCAGGTTTCCCTAAGGGTCCATGTACCCCTATAGCATATAGTTTGACCCTAAAGTAGCTAAACAGGAACTACATTAAGGTCAATGCATATACTATATGCGGACATTGACCCTTAGGGTAACTCCTACATCCTACGTACTCCCTAAACCCGAAACCCCTCAAACCCTAGAACCTAAGACCCTACAAACTCTGAAACCCTAAACCCTACACCCTAAACTCTGAAACCCTAAGCCCTAAACCCTAAACCCTAAAACCTTACGGAACCTCAGGGTTCTAGCCCGCAAATCCAAACGACAGGATTCAGCTTCTCTTTGTTATCTCCAAAGGATACGGTGGAGTGGGACCTCAGCACACGTCTTTGAAGTTTGGGGTTGGGTTTGGGGGTTAGGGTTTAGGGGTTGGGGGTTTAGGGTTTGAAGGGGGTTTAGGGTTTACGGTTTTAGGGTTTAGCGGTTTAGGGTTTATAGGGGTTCAGGGTTTAGGGTGCTTAGTGTTTAGGGTTTAGGGTAGTGCTGAGGGGTCATGTGGCCTACCTTCCCTACTGCTCTTGGGGTTTGGAAGGCCGAAGCTCAAAGTGCTGTAAGTATTTATATAGTCGAATGTAGGGGTTCTCTATCAAAGAATCAATATTCTCAGTGCCCCAATACCCAACCTTTAAACTAGTTGGGTTCTTATAATTTAGTAGTAATCTGAAAGTTTAACCTTTTATTTCCCTGGCCTATTGGGGAAGTAAGTAGTACGATTTGGGAAAGTACCCCTCCGTAGCGGTACCTCGGACACTTTTGGCAACTGAAAGCATGACTTCGACGTTTTCGGAGGGGCCTCGGTCTGCACAACACAGGAGGTTGTCGTCGCTGCATGGTGGGGGCCCTCGAAGAGATCCAAAGCCGAACCAACATTGAACCCTAAACCAGCCCTTCAACATAAGGGTTTAGGGTTTAGGGTTTAGGGTTAAGAGTTCTTGCAATTAAGCAACCTAGATCCATTATCCCTGGACCATAAGCCTGAATTAAACAGACCCCGTAGAAATCCATCTAATCCCTGAAGCCACCTTCAGTCCCGCCAGATCCAAACCTCGCGCTCCTTACTTAAACCCCAAAACGGGTTTAGGGTTAAGGGGTTTAGGGTTTATTTTTTAGGGAACCATAAACTCCAAGGCCACACAATAAGTCACCAACATCCTCCAAAAACCCTGTCCTGACCATTTAAAATTAGAAACTTCAAAGCCACACAATAAGTCACCAACATACTCCAAAACCCTCTCCTCACCATAAAGGCCCCTATGCAATTCGTCAGCCAGAGCTTTAGAGACTTGAACTTTCTCAACCCTATAAATCCAAAGGATCATCTCCTTTGGGGTTCTTTATTGTAAGCCTAGGGGTTTTAGGGTTTAGGGTTTAGGGTTATAAAATTATAAAACACCCAGAACCCTGTTCTAATTATTAAGCGCGCTACATTACTCCAAACGATCGTCTGTGTGAGGCATTCCCAACGCAAACTACCTCGCAGAATGGCCTGGGGCTCAGCACACACCAAAGTTGGGCCCGGAACGTACTGTTTGGTTTTCAGGTTTTCGGTTCTTGAGTTTTTGTTGATTACAGGCTTCGGGTTGAGGGATTGCCTTGGTGGCCGAAGGGCAGGATTTGCGATTTGTTGTTTTGGGGATAGGGCTTGCTGCGTTGGGGTGCAGGGTTTAGGGCTGTAGGTTCGGGGTTTTAGGGCTTAGGGTTTTAGGGTTTAGGGTTTAGGGTCTAGGGGTTTAGAGCCCAGGGTTTAGGGATACTATGTTCAGCTGAGCCTTTGACTGGACTGTTGAAGGGGCAGGGCTTGGGCGTTCACGGTGAGGTTGAAGTTCGTGTCTGTAGTCAGCAGGTGTTTGTGGGGGGTAAGGGCCTGTGCTCATCCGCAAGAATGCGTTGTTAAGAACCCGAAGATTCTTTCTATACACGTAAATATACAGGTCAGGTCAGGTACGGTTTCTTCATGTTGTCTCGGTAAAGGTTTCGATCAGCATTCTTACCGACACCCGGCTTCCTCATAAGTTCCCATGAGCCAAAGGCCATACTCCGCAATCTGTCGAGCCATATAGTCTTGCACACAAATAGCTTAAGACCCTAAGCCGCAAAACACAACACGATCAACAAGAAGCTGAAGTGGAAACGGGCATGCGGACATTATGTCGTCAAGTTGGAAGTGAGGTCGGTCTGGTGTTTGTTGCGGGCTTGCAGCTGTGGGATTTCGTACAACCTGGGATGGCTTACGCACATTTTGGGGTTTACGTTGCGGGTGACGGTTTAGAGTAAGTGGCTCCATGTAGTGCTTCGCTTATCCAATCGACGAGTCTTGACCTTCCCCTCGACTTTTTATATTTGTGTACATAAACTTAAACGACATAAACATGTTCGTCTCTGGTGTAGGTGAGTGTCTGGCCTTCTGCTTCATCTCCCGTCTGTCTTGATGTACAAGACACAGTACAAGTACGATACAACTTATAACTTGTGCGAGTTTCGGAATGTAATGGCAACCTTGTACAGAACCCCAGATAGTCAGCCTCATTACCATTATAGCTATAAGAAACTAGAAACTCGACATACCCCGACTCTCAAAATTCACGAATATTCTCATATTCCGCAACCGAAGGTCTCGAGCTGTTTGGGCTTTGCGGTTTCAGGTGTCATTCCATCTTGCAATGGTTTGCCTTAGGGCTTAGTAAGGCCCAAACAGGGGTATTTCGAAATTGGATCCCAAGTTGCACTAACGATTTTGCAGTTTGCTGGGTTCGCTTCTCATCCGCAGCATCAGCAACCTTTTTGATTCTGGAGATACCGCAGTCTCTGTCCTGCTAATGCTCACTGCCTTCCTGCTTGTGATGCCCATTGCTTTTGACGCCTCATGCACACTAAGGGCCCATCTAAGGCATACTTGTAGACCCAAACCCTACAAAATGGTACACTATGACCTCTTAGTTACAGGGCATAGCTTCGCAAAGCGGGTAGGTTGTTGGAGCCCATATAAGCAAAAACGCGCCATCATGTACTAAACCCTAAACCCTAAACCCACACGAAGTAAAGCTTCGAATCTGACTGCGATCCTTGTCCTTCTGTGGGCTGAGGCAACGTGCTCTTCGAGGCACCTTCAGGGCTGGGTTTTTGGGGCTTTTTCTGGCGGTGTCCTTGAGGGTGTTTTATGGGGGGGGGGGGGGGGGGGGNNGGGGAAGGGTTGAGTGGTTTAGAGCTTAGAGCTTGGGGGTGTAGTTCAAGGCCCCTACCTGAACCCCAAAGGACTTTTATAAGGAAATCACAATCGGGAACCCTCAAAAGGCAGGGTTTTACGGGGTCCAGCTCAATTCCTAAAGTCTTCGACCTTCATCCAGAGTTTAGGCTTTCTGGGGTTTAGGCTTCAGGGATTCGTTCAGGGTCCCGAAGCCTAAGCGAGAGTTTAGGCTTTTGATTTCCCCATTGCAAGGAACCTCGAACCTCGGAAGTACAGCTGATGATATAAATCCTGCTTTGCCCATACTAAGGAATAGACCGATAGACCATATTTCCCATAGTTTATGGTCCTGGAGGTAATGCAGGGTTTATACCATCAACAGTAGGAAGGTTGGTGTTGGGGCTCCCGTAATAACATGACTTCAAGATCATAAGGATAGTCATGTTCCAACACCCTGACTGTTGTTTTTGAGATTCTGGAATGCAATGGGGCGAAGGTGGGCTTGAAACCGCAATGCTTGGTGCTTCATCAAGCATCCTCCTAGGTCCCAGGCCCGCTAAGGTAGCCATGCCAAGTTATGTTAGACTGAAAGATTGCTCGTGCTCCGTTATGATTCTGGGACCATCCAGCAAGACCTTTCGCCCAAGTTGCTGGAAGCTTTGAGTTTGCCATGATCTCCTTGCAGCCGCGGAAGTCTATCAACCCCAATCTCCTGCGTTTTCTCCTTGCCTGGATCTGTTCACCCCTACTCTTTGCCCACACGGGCCAGGAGCCCCTGAACTCCTTTCGGGAGAGAAAGGGCTTCGCATTGCGTGCCCCAGCATCTAGCTGGGTGAAGCAGACTGAAGTTTTGACTGAAGAGGAAAGGTCCTTGGCAGTAATGCTGGCGAGAACCAAGAAGAAGGGCTGGGCTAGAGCTAGCAAAGCGATCCAAGAGTATACCGGGTGCGCAGGTGTCGTGTTCAACGCGGCGATGAAAGCTGCTCACGCTTGTGGCGAGTATAGGGAGGGAGTGAGCATCTATGATCGCATGTGTAAGATGCAGTCTGCCAGATGTACGATCTCTTACAGTATGGCCATGAAGTTGTATGGCAGGTTGAAGTTGATGAGGAAGGTACAGGAAGCCTTCGACGAAGCTGAAGCTGCTGGAGTCATTAATGAGATCAGTATTTCTGCGCGCATTGAAGCAGCTGCAGCCGAAGGTGACTGGAACACCGCTGCAGGTATGCTGGACTATGCACAGCAATGCAATCTTTCCCTGGACAACACTCACTTCAACTCTGTCCTTGCTGCCTGCGCCAATTCGAGGCAGAATCGGTCGATCATATACAAGGCGGCAAACCAGGTGGTGGATTTCATGACTGACTACAATCTCCAGCCCGACATAATCACATTCACCAACTTGGTGCGGGCACACCATCCGTCCGAGGATGTGGGATCTATTCGGAATCTCTGGCAGCAGCTCTTGCAGGCAGAGGTCGTGAAAGGGTCAGGCTCGAAAGCATCAAAATTGTTAGATATCTCCGATGAGGTCTTCACTGAAAACTTATTGACCACAGCTGTTCAACTACCAAAGAATCGTTTCTACAAGAGTGAGCTCATGGTCGCTGAAGCTTTGGACACAACTTCCAGTGAACGTCTGAGGCTGGCGCAGGTCATTGTTGCAGAGCTGCAGGCAAAGGCCGCGCCCATGACCTTGCTTGGCAAACGAATTGCTGGTGCCGTTCGCAAGGCACTTCGCCAAAGAGGCTAAGAGAACTCAGCCATGAGATGCCGCAGCACAGCCGCGAGCACATGCAAAAGAAAGCCCTTAACCACAAATTCCCGAAGTCCATGTTTCACAAAGCCCACCCAAAGGCCCGAGCCTGAAAGAAGTGTCCTTCTAGCAGAGAACAGGACAAGATGTACATTTAGGGTTTAGGGTTTAGGGTTTAGGTTTTAGGGTTTAGGGTGTAGGGAACATGTACATCAACTCAGCACATCCAACAATTCTCGAAGCTTCTGTTCTGAGTATGTCATATGGCGAGTGAGGTTGTGAGGTTTGTAGGCACTGGGCTGTGGACCTGCACTGGCTGTTGGGTTAAAAGTACTTATGCAGGGTTGTAGGTTTGGGGTAAGTTTTCGTGCATTCACCGTACCTTAATCATGATCAAACCCTGACAAGAGCCTTGTCTCATGCATGAGCCTGCGAACGGTGAGCTCACGGGAAAATACGAAGATGTCAGGCACCCACCTTTCTGTGAAAGTACATCCCAAAGATTGCCGAAAACCAAGCCCACCCTGAATGCTTGCGGACAAGGCTTGCAAAGGGAGTTTAGGATTTGGTGGTTTGTTCACCGTTCGCTTTCTCTTAGTTCCCCAATACCCAACCTTTAAACTTTTTGGGTTCTTATAAGTTAGTAGAAAATCTGAAAGTTTAACCCTTTATTTCCCTGGCCAAAATTATTGGGGAAGTATCTTCTTTGAACCCTAAACCCTAAACCCTAAACCGCGGCTTTGCTTTGCAATGACACGACAGGTCACCTGGGACGGTCTCGGAAGAGACATGTTGCCTCCTGCGGCCTTCCTCACGTGCGCTGCCGCAATGCAGGGTGAAGGTATAGGGTTTAGGGCTAAGGGTTTAGGGTTTAGGGCAGGGACTGCAGGCTTTAGACTCGGATTGAGGGTTTAGGGTTTGGGGATTAGACAAGGACACGTAGCTACCCCATCACCAAGAAGCATCAATATAGATTCAACAGCTAGAGGCCTGAATAGCTACAGTAGCAACTGATAACAATTGTCTCTGATGATAGTCCGTATGAAGTAATAGTAGATAAAACAGCACACTCTATATCATGCACCGGAAAAACCAAGTGCAACCATCAGGGTCTGTATATAACCACTTCTGGCTTCCGAACCAGTCAAGCCACAGCCCGCATATTTTCGGAAGTACTTTCGGCTTCAGGTTTTAGTGTTTGAGGTAAAGGCTTACGGGATCGAGGAGTTCAGGGCTAGGGTAATTCAAAATGGCAGCTACTTGTCCTTCGAGCCATTGAAGTTTAGGTTGTTGCCTGTTGTTGTTGCGGTGTTATTTCGGTTTTGGGTTTTGAAGCACTGAACTTAAATAAAATCGAATGTGGTCTCACTTCGTGCCTGCTACAGGTACATGAAGATCGCCGCTGAGCGCGGCGACGCATCCCGAAGTAGCAGGCAGTGCAGTGGTTGAGTTTGTAGTGCCTGTCCTTCAATCCGGGAACACCCCAGAGAATGCGGGCTCTGCTTAACAAAATGCCAGCCCAAAATGAAGCCCCCGAAAGCCGAATCTACGTCCCAGCCTCCAGCAGATTCCGAACGCCCCCATGGTTCCCCTTGATCCGTTCTCATGGGATCGAACAACACCCGGGCCTCAGCGATTACCCTAAACCCTAAACCCTTCAAGCCCAATAAACCCTATAAACCCTAAACCCTAAACCACCCTTGTCATTTCTTTTTTGTTGAAGTGGTTTCCGAACTGAACATCCCCAAAGAGAAGCAGGTGAGCGAGGGAGGCAGAGGCGGTGAGGCTTTTGGCGGCTTCGGGTTCAGAGCTGAGGGTGTAGGGTTGAGGGGGTTTTGGGGGTTGAAGAGTTTAGGGTTTAAAGGGCTTATAGGATGTAATGGTTTAGGGGCTTTAGGGTTTAGGCAGGTCTGGGGCTAGCTCCAATTTCATTGCATTTCTACAGTGTCGTCACGGTTTGCAGCGCTTGAACGCCACACCCCAAAATCCTAATCATCCGAACCCGGAAATATCCACAAGACCTTATCCTCAACCAGCAACTATTAACCTCCCGTACAAAAATGGAAATAACCCTTTCTACACGCTGATAACCCTACAACCCCCCCAAAGGTTCTAAATCCTAAACCCTAAACCCTAAACCCTACCAGTGCTTAAGCCCTAAACTCCCCGCAAGAGTAAAAAGGCCGGGCAATCCCCCTACACCCCAAAACCCTAAACCCTAAAACCCTCAAACCCTAAAGCCTTATCAGCCCCAAAACCCCTAAACCCTAAAGCCCCAAAACCCCTACAAAAGTGCTAAAGCCCGACAGCCCGACAGGCGCTACTTCCCCAAGGATTTCGTCTATCCAGACATTGGACAGAACTTGGAGGCAGTTTAGGGGTTTTAAGGCGTTTAAGGGGTTTAGGGGTTCAGGGTTGTAATATAAGGGCCTAAAGACTTAAGGGGTTTAGAGTTTTCGGGGGGTTTAGGGGTTTAAATAGGGGTTTAGGGTTTAGAGGTTTAGGGGTTTAGGTGTTTAGGGGGTTTGGGGTTTAGGTGTTTAGGGGTTTTAGGGGTTTAAGGGGTTAGGGGTTTAGGGGTTTAGGAGTTTAAGGGGTTTAGGGGTTCAGGGGTTCAGGGGTTCAGGGGTTCAGGGGTTAAGGGTTTATTGTTTAGGGGAGGCTTCTTGAGGGTCACGTTGTGTGTTGTCGTTTTATAGTTTTTTTTGTTTGTTCTGCCTTCGTTTTTGTATGTTGATACTTTTTCTTAAACCCTAACCCTAAACCCTAAACCCTAAACCCTCTATAGGAGCAGCACGCCGAGTGCATCGCAATGCATCGGCGTTCAAGAAATTCCGGCAGTCGACAGGAGGCGCCGCTAATTATGGGGCCTTAATAATTAGAAGCGGGTTTTGGTGTATATTATACTATAACTATAATAAGGTGCCCCCTCCCAAAACAAACCTAGTATTGGTAATTAATTATTTAGGC